GGGGGGGGGGGGGGGGGGGGCTAAAGTAATGAGTCTTTATTGCATCGACGATATCGATCGAGGCATTTTTCCGTGATAGATAATCTCTTGATTAAATAACATATTCCCAGCACGAAACCTTTTTAAGAGTGGGGGCCGAAGTCAGAAGTGTGATGCTCCCAAAGCTGTCCTCCTAAGAGGTTTGCTGTTGCGGTTACGTTGAATGACGTTGAGTAACGCTGAATAACGCCAATCGTGGGGTAATTTGGATGGAATTTGATTGGCCTGTGCCGTTTTTGTGTAGCTTCAACCCGGATCCCACGATTCGTCATACGTTTTGGACTCTGGCCATTGGAGGATATTTCACCTGGATCGCCATCTACGGTGTGAATCAGGCCCAAGTTCAGAGATACCTCACGGTCCCCACATTCAAGCAGGCCAGGAAGTGAGTTCCATTTCCCTCAGCGAAGTCGATCTCGCAGTCGCTCGACCGGGGCAAGAAAGGAGGATGCTGGGGGGGGGGGGGGGGGGGGGGGGACTCCCCCCAAAAAAAAAAAAACAGATGGGGCAGCCACCCCACCTCCACCTACGAGCACGCCATCGGTGTGACCCCTCCATGACCCCCACAGTGACCCCTCCATGACCCCACGGTGACCCCTCCATGACTCCACGGTGACATCCCGTTCGACAATAGGAATTGCTTGCAGAAATTCAATTTTATATATGAATCTGTCCCGAGAGCAATGGTTTTCTTTGCCTTTACATCGGTCAAGGAAGTAAGAACGCTCTTCGGTTCATTTTCAAAGTATAAAAAAAAATTCGGGAGCAAGCGACTCTGCATTTTCCGTTGCTTGAAATTCCGTCCTGCGATCGCGATGAATATCGTTGGAAAATTCCTTATTGAATTCTCCGCATGATGAATTGCACTCTCGAAGGAAAATCGACAGAGAAAGATTTATTTGCCCTTTTTTTTCTCTTGGAAATGCTGTGATATGAATACAAAATTTAAATTTGAGTTCGTGGAATTTCGTGGCACTATTAATAGAAAGTAGGCTTCGAATAAAAAAAATGGCATCGCAAGAAAAAAAAAACCCGGTCGAAACAGCATGCATTTGTAGAGAAAGAAAGCGTCTTCATTTTTCGTCTTCGAGACGAGAAAATGAAGACGCTTAATCGGCGGGGGATTTTGGAGGTAACACCTCTTGCTTCTATCGTTATCCGTTATCCGTTATCCTCCATCAGTCGACGCTTCGGTTTTTTAACGAACTGCCGCGAGACCCCAAAATCGACGGGTCTCGCCACGTCTCACCGCTTCGCCATCTCGCTCTGTCGCGCGGGAGGTCCGAACCCGACCGACGGAGGGCGGTGTTCTCCCGGGCCGCTTTCGCCCCGGCCGCTTTCGCCTTCTATTTGCTCTCCCTTGTGCATGGGATTGCTTGCTCTGAGGTTTATCTCCTTTTTTCCTGCCACCTGCTCGAGCGTGTAATATGGCTTTTCCCGACCAATTTCGGCATAAATCCTTTCAATTTCGGCAGCACTCCTTTCTCCTCTCGGTTTTTCTAATCGATTTCGGCAGGTGACTTTCGATTTCGGCATTCGCCGTTTCAATTTCGGCAGCGCAAGGGAATCTCATGCTTTTCGTAATTAACATGTGTATGTTGGTAATCGTATGGGGAATAAGGAAGGAAAGGAATATACGAAAAAACACCCACTGAAAAAATGCCTGATTCCCCACGAACGAGTCTCGGTCACCCGTCGGAAGAGCTTTCTTCGCGGTTTCGCCATGCACTAACGTACTTGATCGGATGCCAAAGGAGAGAACGTACTGATGGGTAGAATCAGTGTCAATGTCCATGTGTTTTCCTGTGCATAATAAAAATAATGATTAGTGTGCGAAATACCCTACGCGTTGGTGCCCTGAAAAAAAAAAACGCCCATACCTGTAAAGTACTAAAAAAATGCCCACAGCATAATATTTCAAAATATCTCTTGGAGCTTCTTTTCTTATTTGTGAAAACAAATGCATTCTATTTTCCGAACGTGATTTAACCATTGAATTCTTTAAATATGTCACATGTATCAACGTAATAAATCCTGAATATGAAGAAAATCCCCAAGATTCCAGAACGTTTCAACGCGGGATCAATGAACGGATGATTGTTTCCGGGAATGCTAAGGAAAACAAAAGAAAAAAAGTCACTCGAGATAAGATCTGGTGCTTGGGATCATCTTGCCGATTCGCCCGTCCTTTGGATTAATTTCAATAGCAATGGGGTGATTGAAGTGTGACATGCGGCGTATTGATCCCAGGAATGTCCGTTGCTTGCAGTTATCTTGGAGGTATTGGTATTGGTATTGGTATTGGTCCCGAGGAAGGCGGAAAGATGATCATGCAGAGGATCCCAGGCAAAATTGTTGCAGAGAGATCTATAGACTTCTGTAGAATTTTCAATGTAGTTCGTTGGAATTCAATAAACCTCTCATTGCATCTGAATAGGACCCTATAGAGATTGAATTAGTACGATATAGGGGCTGGAAACCGCGGAAGCGGGAAGGATACCATCACGTGGGTAAACAATGGCGGCGAGTGGACGAAAAATCTGGGGTGGCCAGCACGCCATCTTCACAGCGAACGAGAGATCATTCTCGCAAGAATGGAGCACGAAATGGAGCATGAAGCACGAAAGGTGTGCTTAGGTCGGTCTTGTCGCCTGACGAGTCGCGCTGCTTCGAGTGGCAGGTAGTTACAGAAAAAGCTGAACATTCCGTGTTGGCAGTTTATATCGAATCGAAAACGTGTAAAAGGAGAGTGGAAATTGAAGATCCTTGGAACACTTGAAGAGTAGAGGTGCATCCGGTCCGAGGAGAAAATAATTTGTTCCACGACTTACACCCCTTGCGAGTTTCAGGACTTCTACGAAAAAAACAACCGCATCTAGTTCACCTATAATGATCACGAAGACTATATCTTCGGTCTTTTTCATTCGTGGAAACTACATCGATGCATATCGGCAATGCGGATTAGGATGACCGAGCACCTTTCTAATTTCGGCAAAGGAACCTAAAGACACGACGGTGTACTTGTTAGCAGTCACCCGATCATGCGCGATGCAGGGAGGCCGGCCTCCCTGCTATCGTATATAGTACTTCTGTATAGCGTGCACTATGTCATGTCCCTCATCCATCGCCTATGAGCCGGGGGAGGGCTCGAGGCTCTGGCCTCCGAGATGGGAGGGCAGATGGAGACGATTTGGTTAGTCCAGTTTCTCGAATTCCAAAGTTAACTTTTATTTTACAGCCTCATCCCCTTCGGCGCAGCTCTTTAAAATTGCACCGCTCGGGATGGAACGACTCTCCGATGCATGATCCCCATGAGGATTTCCAGCAGTTCGCAACTACGACCTGTGTCGTGTCCCTCCGTTCAACGATGCTTTCACAAGTGCATCATAAATTAATCGGATATGAACCTTCTAAAAGGCTCTTAATATTCTATAAAATTATAGATTATAGAATACAATTCGCTGGTGGAGATGTGCCCGTAATGAGCTGTCGCGGTCCGGTGGTGTTCGGGCAGATCCAAGTACTTTATCTCTCGGTCTGCTGGTCGCTTCGGAGTGAAATTTTGGTATCTTGCGCTTCTTCGCGTTTACGTAATAACTCGGGCGATTAAATATCGGTGCGATTAGCCTAAAAATAATGGCTTACATCCTAATTATGCATCCAAATTAATCGCCGTATGATCCAACGCTGCGGATCACGAATGCTAAAAGAAAAGCGACGGCTGATGCAACTTAGCGTTTGGGGATGCTAGAACTTGTCAATAATTGGACAATTCCTTCATTCCTTTCAATTCATTTGAAAATGGTGTACCTGCAAAAAAAAGTCATTTGAAAGTAAAGTTGCTTTTGTGAGCATAGATGCTCGTTTCCCTCATTGAAAGTGGGGTTTTTTAGGATTTATGCAAGGAAAAAAAAAGCCTATTTGCGCATACCGCTTTATCTCACTTTTAAGAAGGCAGAAGAACTGAAATGTTCACTCGTTCTATGCACAGCAAAGCAGAAACGTACAGTAAGGTACATATTTTGTACGTTTTGAAGTACAGACGTATGTCGTAAAATACGTTCGTTAAAAAGGTACCCGTGGCATATCTCTACCCAATCGGAACGCATGGGGGTCCTTTTTGAGACTCACGTTGTATGTTGCTGGAAGCGTATGTTTGTCTTGGAGGTTCGTGCATGGACCTTACTTTTCAACAATTAGGAACCTTTGACGTTTGAATTAGGAACCCTGAAAATATGCGAGCAGACTTGTCGATTCAGAGGCCAAGAATGTGGAGTTCTGTCTTCACCTTCTTCAAGCATGATTTACACATGATTCCCACGACGTATTCTATAAATTCTCCTGCCGCAGTTGGTCGAAATTTGAATTGGCAAATATAGTTTAGTGCCATCCACTCCACAATCTCTTCAATGATACAGGCTTTCCGGAATCTTCTCCTTGTCAGCCCATATCTCATAGATTATGATAAACTTTTTAGTGATGGGATGATTGGTCACTGGGGTACGCCCTAATGGAATAGTCAGTTAGACAAAATTATACGGAGCCTGCAGGTTAGATAATAATTATGTTTCAAAATCCGAAAGAACGATGATGGTTCATACCTCTGAGAGGGATATCATTGAATCTCCCTCTTCACGGAAGAGAACAGGGAGAAGTTGTGGAACTCAGGAATTCAGGAACTGCATCATATCCTGCAAAGTTGCGATAAGGTTCAGAATTAGCTAACTAGTTCAAAGAGATTCTCAAAATGGGCTTCAGGGATTCAGATTCAGAGTGATTCTGAAATGTAAAAAATGAGGAAGTTCCGGATATGACAGGTTGCCTTGATTGCTATCGTGAAAACGTTTTTGGGTCCAGTACTGGAAGCCAATAATACGAACACAAGCACTCACTAATTTGGTTTCGCAAGGTGTGTATTCACGCTTATGGATGAGAAAGTGGCTTACCATGGTCATCATCGCAGTTCAAAAGCCCAGCTCATGGGGGATGAGAGCCGAGTTGGAATTCCTGCTTCCGAAAGTGGGGTAAAAAAAAGGCTTATGAAGTTCAATAAGAGTTAAAATGAAGTCCTTCACATCCGTCGTAATAATGAAAGATCTCTGGACTTATTCGACGAAGATAAGCTGGAGGAGGCAAACAAGAGAGAAATGTTTGGATCGCGATTGATGAGAAACACAAGTTCTCGCACGCGCAGGCGACAAGCTTCAACGTGACTAACTCAGGAAGCATATTATCAGGCATTTGTATAGAATGCCATGGTGCGTGTCCTTGCACCCCCCCCCCCTTCCCAAACAGCGCTAATGACAGCATTAATTTACGCTAGGTATCATACTCATGCTTTGCCTTCCTCATGTCAGAAGTATGGGTTGCACAAGTACATCTTGGTAAGACAGAATTCGTTTCCTTGCGCTAATATATCGACTTAGCCTTCTGGACAATATATTTATAAAGAGCAATTGTAACTGCCCAGTACGTACACTCACCTTTGAGGAACAGTGTACAGCACAACAGCGCACATTCCCTTGGTTCCAAGCGTTGCCATCTGTGCACTGTACCGTCAAATGGTTATATCTCATGAGACAATTGCGTGTTAATATCAAATTTGGTATCGTTAGGAAGGGCATAAAATACACTTGGAATCAAGTATTGGAACCACGAGTTCCAATTATGGCAAGTGTAGACATCGGCCACTGAAGATGACCACTAGGTCATCCGAATTGGACATTGTCAAATATGACACCGAGATGACTGTGAAACTGATCAGCAAGTGGCAGAGTGCAGATATATTAATTTCGTTCTGAAATGGTTTTTATTGTCTATCATACCCAGGATGACCAGTGAGAAAACGGCAGATATTGCGATCGATTTTTCCTCTTTTGATTTATTTTCATTCAAATGAGTGCTGTCGCATTCAAGCACTCTGGTGCTTGAATGAATGCAAAAAGTAGCATTCCCAACATACAAATGCGAACGGCATCGAAGTAAAGTGAAATAAAAATATGTACCTCTCTACTTTACTTATGTGCGCAGCTCGAGAAGAATTTTTTTTGCAAATAGACCACTTTTCCTTCTAGCCTTCCAATTGTGTTCGGGTCTGAAAACGATTCCCGGAAAGAGTCCTCAGGCACGCGGAGACTCTTTGAAAGAAGCAGAAGAGAGAAAATTGGCTCCTATTGCAGTGTATTACGCTCCCAGTCGATCGAGGTAGCAATATTGGATTCTAGAACCATGATGAGAACTTGTCGTCAAGCTTTTCTTGGGTCGAACACGTGTGTTCCCAAGGGTGAGAGGTGTAATGGGAGAAAACGAAAGGGAGAGGGGAAACCTTGTTAATTCGAAATCCAGGGGACCAAAAAATACTGACTTCGAAATGAGCAGGTTCGAATTATCTGGTGTGGCCATTGTTATTTTGTAATACTAAACTAAATCCGCGTGTTTTAGGAGGGAGGGGCAGGAGGGGGGGAGGGAGGATAAGATTTCCGTAAAAGCGCAGAACAGAGAAAGAGAAACCCATTGCTGAAGCTTTGCTTGTCTTGCAATCGGATCTCTATTCAGGTGTTAGGGATTTGATTAGAGCGCAGACGGGGACCTTGGTCTTATCACGTTTCGATCAAGAGTGCCCCCATTATTTTCACCATCAAGGGAATCTCATCCCGCAAGAGGGGGAGATCCAATTCATTAAGGACTGATTCAAAGTCGTATATCAAGCTTGAAAGAGCCGTCAGATTGAAAACTAATTGAAAGCTAATCGCATCGGTTCACTTCGACAGCACGGTGTCATCGGGTCTGAATTCCCTGGCGGCCATCACGTTGGAGGACTTCGTGCGTCCGTTTTTCTTCCAGAGGATCTCGGACAAACAGGCGGCGAATGTCTGCAAGGTCCTTGCCCTCGCCTACGGCCTCGTTTCCTTCTCCCTCGTCTTTCTCGTCGAGAAATTTGGAACCGGTGTCCAGACCGTACGTGGTGCTTCGTGGTTCTCGATCTTGCGGGCAGAATTTCTCCAGGATTTTTTTTTTTCGCTTTCCAGGCGACCCTGAGCATCTTTGGCATGGTCGGAGGGCCTCTCCTTGGCATTTTCACGCTCGGAATCTTCTTCCCCTGGGCCAACAATAAGGTCAGCCTTCGTTTTTCTTGTTCATTCACCGAATAGGATGTGGAAAATACGCTGGCCCAATTGTTACTTAATTTTGCACAGTGGCAGACCACCAACGAGATTATTGCACTTCCAGATTAAAGACACCGCAATTAATGTGTGGTGCACCTAAATCCCACGCACCGACTTCAATAGGTAGCATGATCCCTTTTGACTGCAATGAAGGCGCTCAACTGATGTAAATTGCCATCAGAAAAGTGAATTGAGGAAATCGTGCGCCTCACGTTACCTGGTAGTAATATTTATCTAAAAGTGTAATCACCGTACATGTAGAGGTGGACCATCCTTTGCCACTGTGCAACGTTCAGCGTGCGAGGTTGCTCCATCGTGATGCAATTCCAATGACAAGCAGTGTATGTTGATTTACGTACCCGTAAACCTTGCTTCGACCTTTCCTTCGTTCATCCGCTCTCCCCTAAGGGCGTCGTGACGGTAGGCTCATCTACAGTCTCGGATCATCCGAGCGACAGCTCGGAATTACAAATCGGAAAACCAGTTCTCCAATTAGGTTTGCCTTTCCCTCGTCTCCCGCGCCATGCAGCTAGAATCACTCCTCCTCCCATCACATCAAACAAATTAATGGAAGGACTTTCAATCGTCTGTTTGCCCGCACGGGTTGTCGGAGACAGCAGGCAGAGCCTGCGAGGAGAGTGAGAGAGAGCCGAAGAGTGATTCAAAGCATGCGAAGGAAACGGAAAAGACGGAGAAGCGAGGCCTGCGCAACGCTGTCGGCTAGCTTTAAACGCTGAACCGCTCCAGAGTCGAGAAGGCCGCTTCATCGCTCGTTGCACCTGGCTTGGCAAGACGCGGAAGTGTCGGGTCGAACATTGTTCGATGCATGCGGATGGTTCACTAAGCTTACGGTATGGTATCGTTACCGAATGCACAGACGAAAGAAAGTGGGGATAAACAATAATACGACCAACAAATGATGCATGTTCCGAAAATTGAAATATTTCCCTTGCCCCACATCCGCGGGGAGCAGAGCCTGAAACTCACATCAATGATCTTCTGAATGGAGAGGATGAATGTATCTCGATAATTTTACTAGATGCAACCATGGGAGACGCGGTTGAGTTCTTTCAGCTGGGAAGGGGGATTTGATCGTGAAAAGGTTGGGAACTTTGGACTCTGAGGATAGCGATCATGAGAAGTTCGAAATTGAAACTCGAGAGAGAACAAAGGAGAAAGAGAGCGAAACTTCTTCATTAAACCCGACGTGTCTCTTTCCTGTATTTTGCCATTCTCTAGGGCTCTCTCGTCGGAGGAATCATGGGATTCCTCATCAGTTTCTGGATCGGAGCGGGCTCGAACGTGGCCGTCGCCCATGGCAGACTCAGCTTCCCCGAGAAGCCGATGTCCGTCGAGGGCTGCTTTCACCTGAATGCCACTGAGGGGCCCGTGCCCTCCACGCTCTCGCCCGACCGACTGCCCATGTGGCTCTACCGGCTCTCGTATTTGTGGTACTCCGCTGCCGGGTGCTGGAGCGTGATCGCGATCGGGCTCGTGGTCAGCTGGGCGACGGGGATGCAGGATCCTCGGACCCTCGATCCAAAGCTCATCTCTCCCATCTGGCATCGCTTGAAGGCGAAACTCCCCAGCTCTCTTGTCTTCAGGCTCGGACTTAACGTCGGCGCTGATTACGTGAGTCGACGTGTTCGTGTGCATATCTATATAACGTGAGAAATGAAAACTCGCTTTAAATCTGTACAATTTCTGACCGGAGCGGAAAATATATATAGGAAAATCAATTGAAAAGAAAAACTGAAACAAGTAATGAAACAAGTAAGAAGTAACCGAACAGAACATAAAACAGCGGTTTTTTTTTTACAATCTCTTCCAGTACGGTAATGAGGTCTTGCGTTTAAGGACCAGATTTCGTTCTGGAGAGACTTTTACGTCAGCCACGATTTGGTCGTGACGGAACATCATTGGGATGGAATTTTAGCAACGATTTTTTTCTTCAGAGGTTTTCTATTTCTATTTCTATTTCTTTGGGTTTTTTTCCTCCCATGACTTAAAAAAAAAAATTAATTCCATGAAAGATAAGGTAGAAATCTGTGGAGCGGAACAAAGTCGTCAATACCTCTCTCTGGAACGGAACGGAAGCAGGGTTCGAGAGTCCGTAACGATTTCTCCTAGCCGAAACCTATCGAACCGAACTGACTTGTAGTTTTGGTTAAATTGAAGCAGCATATTTATATACGGTGAGATTAGAGGAAAATTCCCAGAGTCGTTTCCTTCATCTCCCATTCCAAATCCATTTGTCATATATATTTATTGATGATAATAAATAGCCTGAAAAATGGCACATGAAAAAATTTAGATAAGTAATAAAGAGTCTTGCCCCCTAACTTTTCCAACGCTATACCCCTTCCTAATTAGCTACTACTAAGTTCATTAATGGCATCGCATGCAAAAATGTGGAAAGCACTGAGTTTCCGAAAAATTATGAGCGACCTGGCAAAAAAGAAAAAAAAATTAACGACTTCTTCCCGGCAGAGAAAACTTGGTAAACAGGCTTCAGTATGACTCCTGTTCTACAAGGGGGGAAAGCGAATTTGTTTGAAAGGTTTTCAAAATAAATTTCCTGAGAAACTTTGAATGAGCATTGCTGAGCATTTATTATTAAATACTATGAATAAAAACTGAGATTATTGTCCATATTTAACGGCATTTCCAATCCATTCATTCAATGATTTGTCATGGGTGACGAACAGCCGAAATGTTTACCTTTTGCATGAGTACCACGGGCCCCATTTTCTTGCAATTAATCCTCTCTGCAATAACTTCGTTTCATTGTACTCTAAATATATATATATATATATTTAATTTCGAGTATCACTCCTTTAATCTTCCTCGGTGCGAATTTTATTTCGTGATGGCAAGGAAAGCTCCCAGTTTTCTCGGATGTGGCCACAGCATCTCGAAGAACACGAAACTCAAGCACTAAAAATCTCAGACGATACTCAAACGATAAGAAACAGCTCGGACAGGTATTAAAACCAAAAGAAAAAAAAAAACAGAAAAGAAAAAAAAAAAACGCCTGCAGCAGTCGATGCAGCGAGGCCGAGGAGGTGGGAGGACGTGCCTGCTGCCTCCTGCAGAGGCTTTAAACCGCTTCTCTAAATGGTCTATGGCGACATCTCTTTGCTTTTCCTCCTGTCCGTCAATAGATTGTCTCATTCCAGAGTATAAAGCGATTGAGTCGTGCTTCTCAATTGCCAAGTATACCGTATATGACAGCTATTGGGATCGTATTATTTTTTATCGTTTGGGGGCCGATCCGTTCGTTCACCGGGGACCTGCACGGGTCGATTTTTCCGACCCGATCGGTCCGATTCGAGTCTTGACCCTCAATCGACCCTTCAATCGACCCTTCAATCGACCACTCAATAGACCCCTCAACTCGTTCTCCAAGTGAGCTTCAAGGCCCGACCTTCGGATCGGATTCGGAGAGGCACCCTCGATTTTCTATCCTGTACACTTTGCTGTTCCAAATTCGATCGTCTCGTCTCATATGAATGCTTTCGGATGGAACTTGTTAAATTGTGCGTTTGAGTGAATTGGGAGCCTTTGATGACACGTCGCATCCTTATTCTTGACCCTGCTCATGGTTCTTCGAAATTCAAACGGAGGGGCAATCAGACTTGAGGATTTTTTTTTTTTTTTTTTGGGGGGGGGGGTTCCCGTATAATAGATGGGTCTATTTTTTTTTTTTTTTTTTTTGGGGGGGGGGGGGGGGTTCCCGTATAATAGATGAGTCTCATTTGAATGCTATGGGATGGAACTCATTGATATTCATGTATTGATAAATTAGGAATCTTTGATGGAAGAGCTTCCCCAGTTATTGATGTTAAACGTGGCGGCTTCAAATTCCAAGGGCACGGCCCACTCGAACGTTAGGGGCCGAAATTCTCTCGGCCTCAGGAAAGCCTCAATATTTCAGGAAACGGCAAGAAAATGACTAACGACTTTTGACCTAAGTATCTCCGCTCACACTGGAGCTATTTTCGTGAAACATTCACTTTGCATGTATGAGTTTCTTTGCAATTGATTTGCAAAGTGTCACCTGAATCTGCTAAACCAAAGCAATTCCACGAGCAATTGAAAAAAAAAGTGAGACTTGAGAACGGACGAGAGCTGGCTGCGGAAAGGAGGACACACTCCCGCGCCGTCCTTCCTCCGCGCCGTCCTTCCTCCGCGCCGTCCTTCCTCCGCGTAGAGCTGATTGTTTCCTGCAGGTGGTTTCCATGGTTTCTAGCTTATTCCCAAGGAATTGTAGATGAATCGATGAATATCGATCCATCAAGTTTGCGCAACGTTTTCTAAGGATTTACCTTGTTTCCTAAGTCTGCAGGGGATGAACAAAAAGAAATATCTACAACTTTGAGTGTATCAGATGATTGCTTAAATAATATTTCAACAAATATGCCGAGAATGTAAGATGTTTTCAAACATTTGAAAGTCAACAAGGTTGCAAGACTGGTTGATTCAGATCAAAGTTTTGAACGATATTACGCGCATGACAAGCCCGACGCTTAAAGGGGGAAATTCCGAATGAACCTCAAGAAAACTCTCTGGAACTAACACTCCCCAATTCATCCGTCATTCACCGGGAATAAATCCACGAAAACCGCCTGCAGGAGGCAATCAGCTCGACGCAGAGGAAGGACAGTGTCCTTCCTTCCTTCTTCCTCCTTTCCGCGATCAGCAGGAGCTCTTGTCCATTTTCAACGTTTAACTTCTTCTCGATAATTCCTCGTAGTATTGCTTTATCGTTACGGATTCGGTTGACATTTTGGGAATAAGTTGGAAACATGCTCATATACGCGAAAATAGCATAAATGTGAGAGGAGACATTTAACTTAAAATTCATCGGCCTCCTTTTGTACATTGTTTGTACATTGTTTGTTCGGAAGGATCCATTCGCAGCGGGAACGGCGGAGCTGAAAGCGAATCCATCGCGAGCCTCCACGGTCACGAACTTCAACGGGGAGACGGCCTTCACCTCCGACCCCCTCTACGAGAACCCGGACGACGCCCAGAGGAGCCAACCGGCTCTCGCATGACTCAGACATTTCCCCCCGCTTCGCTCCGTCTCCGTGTCAGCTGTTCTCGCGGTCCGCCGCGGGCCGGCACGAAACCGACCGAAAAAGCGATGCGTCTCGCGACGGCTGCGTCTCTCCGAGGGAATCGTGCGACGTGCAGTTTTTGCCGTGGAGTTTTTGCAAACGTCTGCAAATTATTTGCACATGATCTCCGAGTACTGCTATGTGATGTTGCAGATTTGGGGCTCGTCGAGGCCCAATAAAGCATGCTCGCCCTTCTCCGGACATCGAAGAATCGTTACTTCTTTTCATAATTGCGCCCGTCATCATATTTATGGTATTTCTGTTATCATTCTTAATTTTCGTTTGCAAGGGTTCCTCGAAAAATTATTGCGAATTTCAAGCATATTTACCATGAAATTCAACTTCAGAAAGAAAAATCCTGGAAACAAGGCAAATCTGCCATTCAATCACTGACTGATCGGTAGTTGGATCCCTTTCGAACGCTGCCAGTAACCGACTCAAGGCATAACGCCGACTAACTCAGCGAATCGCCACCCATTCATTCCAACACGCAAGACCTCTGATCAGCAGACATGTCTTTCATTCGAAGAACACTTTTTGAGGGGGAACGAGACCGATCAGAAGGGAAAGCGAGTGATGACACAACTTGAGGACAATACCAACTAATGAGGAAGGCAAATAGACCCATTTCCAACTAGGTCCATCGTGACATTGTTTCCCCGTTATGGTCACAACACTCACCTTATCAGATGAGGATCTTTTCCTTTCTCAGATGATTCTCCGAGTGAAAAATCCCCCCACCCCCTCAACTTCGAAGAATGCCTTCCCGCAGCGAAAAACGATTCCCGACAAAAAAGAAATATTTTTACCTCAATCCACATTACCGCGCCCTCCCTGCATTCACGAACGCCACCGAACGTTCCCCTCGATGACCTCCTCTATAAGGAATCGAGGCCAACAGCATCCTTTCCCCGTTCGAACTGCCCAATGGCCTGGACCGCTGCATCTGAAGGCAATGTATGAGCATATACATAGCATATGAGAGTGCATACGGTCTAACGCTGCGTCTCTGTTGACTCGAGATGCGTTGGGAAATTCGAGGGACTCAAGTTCTTCGGACGTTCTTGTTCCTCTCCCCTTCGGAAAAAAAAAAAAATTCCCCCACGGGAGCTAGCCAGAAAATTTTATTTTCACGCCAATTTACACGTAGCATTCGCATCTGTTGTGCCGATTTCATTCCTCACCTCTGTTCGAGAAAAATCGTCCTCTACTTTCGGGAGCACTTTCTGCACTTCTTAATTCATGCACTTAGCATCAGTCATAACCCCGTTTAAACGTCATCTGGCAATGTGCCTGATCATCGCAAAGAATCGCTCAATTAGTTCAAGAACGAGCAACTTCTCATCGTGCTGAGACCCACACGGAACCAAAGACTTCATTTCCTTCAGAATCGGAGTGATGTGAGAACAGTGCCATTTAATAATCAGGATAATCTCTTCAGTTTCGATAGAAAGATAATAAAGATAATAGTTCACCGAGTAATCATGTCATGATCGGACTGAACTAATGGTTCTGTATTGAATAGTGCACTAGATCAAGGTGGCTTCCATAAGCATTGTCCAGTTTGGAACAGAGGCGGATACAGAAAGTATCCATATGGGGGTTGGTTGGTCGGATGGTTCCCAAGTTCCAACTCCTCCCCCTCGCCTTCCCCCCCCCCCCCCCCCCCCTCCCCCCCAAAACCTACCATCACCATCTGCCCTATCGCCTTTTTCATTTTTCATCTGTGTATGATATCCTGGATATCCATTTCTCGACCACCACGAAGATTGATGAATGGGCTTTTTAAATTTCAAAAATAGAATGCAAACCTGGTTATGGGGAGGGGGGGAGGGGGGAGAGGGGGGAGAGGGGGGAGGGACGGTCGCCCTCTACTATGGCCACCAGTTCTTTCGGCCAATGGTATGGAATTTTTTCTGGTCGGAAGCTTCATAGACAGTAGCACAAATGAAAATCCCACTGCTCCTAAATTCTCATCACGAAATCTTTTATAGGAAGTTTCTTGTTAATCCAAGCCCATTCATTCATTGAGAAATTTCTTTTGCGTTCCGCGACCTGTGGCGAAGCTGTTCCGAGAGAGAATTTGCATAATCCCTGCAATCCGAAGAGCCGTCGCACGCCCCACGCAGGTACGATTTTCGTCCCAGCCTGATGATGTTAACCCAGCCCCATTTTATTATGCGCGAAATGAGGTCGATCCAGTTTCACCACCTTTTTCCACAGGCCGGGGAAAAATACAGGAATCCCCACGAGCGGAGCACGAATGAGGTCGCAACGCGAGTCTGGGGGGGGGGGGGGGGG